TGAGTGCAGTCTTTCTATGTCTGTCCCTCTCTTTCTGACTTGTTTCACTTAGCTTGATACTTTCTATGTTGATCCACTTATATGCAAATTTCATGACTTCATCTTTTCTAACAGGTGCATAGTATTCCATTGTGTAGATGTACCAAAGTTTGTTTAACCAGTCATCTGTTCTCGGGCACTCAGGTTTTTTCCAGATTCAGGCTATTGTAAATAGTGCAACAATGAACATACAAGTGCAGATCTCATTTCTACTATACTTTTTTGCATCTTTGGGATATATTCCCAGAAGTGGTATTGCTGGTTCAAATGGGAGCTCAATTTCTAATTTTTGAGAATCGTCCATACTGTTTCCAAAAGGGCTGAACCAGTTGTCATTTCCACAAGCAGTGAAGGAGAGTTCCTTTCTCCCCGTATCCTCGCCGACACCGGTTACTTTTGTTCTTTTAAATGTGTGCCAGTCTCTGTGGTGTGAGATGATAGCCCATTGTTGTTTTGATCTCCATCTCCCTGATGATTAGTGATGAAGAGTTTCTTTTCATGTGCTTTTTTTGGCCATTTGGATTTCTTGTTTGGGAAAGAATCTGTTCATTTCATCTTCCCATTATCTGTTGGGATTGGATGTTTTCTTCTTGTAGAGTTCAACCAGTGCCTCGTATATCCTTGATATCAACTCCTTATCAGATGGGTATTGGGTGAATATCCATTCCCATTCTGTAGATTGTCTTTGTATTTTGGTCACTCTATCTTTTGAGGTGCAGAAACTTCTGAATTTAAGATAGTTCCATTTATTTATGTTTCCACTTGCTTGATCAGTGGCATGTCATCTTTGAAGATACCTTTAGCTTCAAGGTCGTGGAGAGTTTTGCCTCTGATGTTGAGGTCTTTAATCCATTTTGATCTGACTTTTGTGCACGATGTTGGGTAGAGGACTGAGCCCACTTTTTTGCATGTAGCTGTCCAGTTTTGCCAGCACTATTTGTTAAAGAGGCTTTCCTTGCTCCAATTCACATTTCTTGCTCCCTTATCAAAGATTAGATGATTGTATATTTGAGGGGGTGTGTGAGGATATTCAACCCTGTTCCATTGGTCTGCAACTCTGCCTTTGTTCCAGAGCCATGCTGTTTTAATTGTTACCACTTTCTAGTAGAGCTTGAGGTTGGGGAAGGTAATGCGTCCCATCTTCTTTTTCCCAACAATTGCTTTAGCTATTCGTGGAGGTTTGTTGTTCTATATGAATTCTAGAAGTGTTTGATCCATTTCTTTGAATAATTTCATGGGTATCCTTATAGGGATTGCATTGAATCTGCACAATGCTTTGCATTGAATCTGCACCTCAAAAGATAGAGTGACCAAAATACAAAGACAATCTACAGAATGGGAATGGATATTCAACCAATACCCATCTGATAAGGGGTTGATATCAAGGATATACATTTTGACAATGTTAATTCTCCCAATCCATGAGCCGGGGATATGTTTCCATTTCCTCACGTCCTCTTTTATTTTGTGAAGTAGCATTTTATAGTTTTCTTTGTAGAGGTCCTTTACCTCCTTAGTTAAGCTGACTGTAAGGTACTTGATTTTCTGAGGCATGATTGTGAACGGGATTGAGCTTTTCATGTTGCTTTCCTGTCACTCATTTGCATATAGGAAAGCCATGAACTTTTGTGTATTGATTTTATAGCCTGAGACTTTACTATACAAGTCTATAGTTTCTAAGGAGTTTCTTGGTAGAGGATATAGGGTTCTCTAAATATAATATCTCATCTGCAGATAGTCAGAGCTTGATTCCTTCCTTTCCTATCTAGATGCCCTTAGTATCCTTTTCTTGCCTAACCGCTATTGCAAGTACTTCCAGTACTATATTGAACAGAAATGGTGAGAGTGGGCATCTTTGTCTTGCCCCTGATCTTAGAGGGAAGGCTCTTAGTTTTTCCCCATTGAGGATAATGCTTGCCATTTGCTTGTGGTAGATGGCTTTGACTATATTGAGGAAAGTTCCTTCAATACCCATTTTGGTGAGAGTTTTCATCATAAACAGGTGTGGAACCTTGTCAAATGCTTACTCTGCATCTATTGATATGATCATATGATTTTTATCTTTTCTTTTGTTAATATGATGGATTAAGTTGATTGATTTCTGAATGTTAAACTATCCTTGCATCCCTGGGATAAATCCCACTTGGTCGTGTGTATGATCTCTTTGATGAGTTGTTGAATTCTATTTGTTAATATTTTGTTGAGAAACTTCATATCTGGGTTCATTAGGGATATCGGCTTGTAGTTTTGTAGTTTTCTTTTTTATTGGAGTCTTTGTTTGCTTTTGTTAATAGGGAGATATGTGCCTCATAGAAACTGTTTGGGAGACTTTCTGTTTCTTCAATTTCCTGGAAAAGCTTGAGAAGAACTGGTAATAGGTGCTCTTTAAATGTTTGGAAGAATCTGCTAGTGAATCCATCTGGATCTGGGGTTTTGTTTTTGGGAAAACTTTTTATTATAGTTTCAATTTTCTTGATAGTAATAGGTCTATTAAGTTATTCCAAATCTCCTTGGTTCAGCCTTGGGAGAGTATAGGAATTCAGGAATTTTTCCATTTCTTCTAGGTTCTTTTGTTTTGTGGCACACAGACTTTCAAAGTAATCTCTGATGATCTTTTGAATTTTTTTGGTTTCTCTTGTGATGTCCCCCTTTCATTTCTATTCGGTTTATTAGGGTTCTCTTTCTCTCTTTCTTTGTGAGTCTTGCTAGTGCTTTATTGATCTTGTTTATTTTCTCAAAGAACCAGGTCTTGGTTTCATTGATCTTTTGGATTTTTATTTTTTTGGGGGGGAGGTTATGTCATTGATTTCTGCTCTAAGTTTTGTTATTTCTTTCCTTCTGCCTGGTTTGGGATCTTTTTGTTGGTCCTTTTCTAAGATCTTTAACTGTGAAGTCAAGTTATTTTTGTGGGCCCTTTCTTCCTTACTGAGAAACACTTGCAGTGCTATAAATTTTCCCCTTAATATGGTTTTAGTGTTGTCCCATAACTTCTGGTAACTCATGTCTTCATTCTCATTTGTTTCCAGGTATCTTTTGATTTCTTCCTTGATTTCCTTTCTGACTCATTCGTTGTTCAACATTGAGTTGTTTAATTTCTAGGTGTGTTTTGGTTCTCTGCGTCTGTGTGTGATTAACTTCTGTCTTCAGTGCATCATGGTCTGAAAAGATAGTTGATACAATTTCTATCCTCCTGATTTTATGGAGGTATGTCTTGTGACCCAGAATGTGGTCTATTTTGGAGAATGTTCCATGGGCACTGGAAAAAAAGCGGGTAGGGCGTTCGCCTTACAAGCGGCCAACATGGCTGACCCGAGTTCGATTCCTCCGCCCCTCTCGGAGAGCCCGGCAAGCTACCGAGAGTATTGGATATGCCAGACACAGTAACAACAAAGTCTCCAATGGAGATGTTACTGGGCCCGCTCGAGCAAATCGACGATCAACGGGAGGGCCTTTACTTTACTTTTCTTTTTGGAATGTTAAGCCCCGTATAAATCTATTAGTCCTTTCTCTTCTATTTCTTCCTTCAAAGCCAGTGTTTCTTTGCTGAGTTTTAATATTGTTGATAAATCTAGAGGCAATAAGGCCATGTTAAAGTCTCCAACTACTATTTTGTTGCTAGTAATGTCCTCCTTATAATCTGTTAGCAGTTGTTTTAAGTAGTTTGTCCCTCATTAGATGCTTTTACGTTTAGGACTGTGATTTCTTCCTGCTGTGCATATCCCTTGATTAATAAAAAAATGGCCTTTGCTGTCCCTTCTAACATTTTTCAACCTGAAATCTATGTTGTCAGATACTAGTATGGTCACCCCGACTTTGTTGAGAGAGTTGTTTGCTTGCAGGATTGTTTTCTGTCCTTTGACTTTGGGTCTGTGTTTGCTCTGACTGTTCAGATGTGTTTTTTGTAGGCAGCAAAATGTTAGGCTCAGTTTCTGAATCCATTTTGCCACTCTGTGTCTCTTAATTGGTGCATAGACCATTAACATTGAGATTATTGTCATGGGGTTTTGTGCCATCTTTCTGTAAGGGGTTTGCTGCACTTGTAGGGGGTTTTCTTAAAAAGAAAACAATTTAAGTCTACTCTAAATCCTTATATACTTTATGAATCAATAATATCTCTCATTTCAGTGAACAAGATCTATTTATAAATATAAATATTGAAAGTACAATTACATTATGTGATAATGCACTAAAGTTTTGGTAATTATTTGAAAAAATAATGGTGACAGGTTTGGGTTTTTAATTTGTACATGGTAATCTAAACATGGTCTGGGACAGAGTATAGAGAATTAATACCACCAATGATAATTGGTGTTGATAACCTCATCTTTCTATATATCAGACAGCAATCTCTCATTATATCTATACATTTTAACGTAGCATTATAATAAAATTTAATAGTGGTAGGCTCCGGAAAAATGAAAGAATCTATATCTTTTGAAAAGAACCAGTTATGCCATGAAGAATTTTGTCAAAGAGAATTTAGGGAAAACTGTTTTTCGTATACATTTCTACTTTTTACTTTTATTAGTTTATTTTCATTGGAGACGCCTACCTCTCCCTAAGATTCAAATAGTTACTCCTTCCAGTTAGGTAACAAAATAAACCTATGAGGTAACAAGATAAATCTCAGTTCCTGCCATCACAATGTACTTAAAATCACCCAATCTCCCTGCCTCCCAACAACTGAATCTATTGATTAGATTAACTTCATTCTTCTTTGGGAGACATTGTCTTCCAGAGGCTGTTTGTGGGTCTGTCTCTGAACCCACCCCTCATCCCCATGCACAGATGCTTTCCCTTCACAGCTTCAGCCTAATGTGGACTCTCCACTCTCCTGATGCAAAGAATGAGTAAACGAAAAGAAAATTAGAGAACCAGCTCGACGATGCCAAGGAGGGGAGGGGAGAAGCTATTTACTTACTAATGCAACGATTTGGAGATAGAGTGCTCTCTCTTTTCAGGTGATCGATGACCGGCTTAAGGTGGAGAAAGATAAAGGGAAAGCAAAATCTCCCAAGGAGAAGAAGGCCTCAAATACCAATAGCAAGTTGGGCAAAGGAGGAAAGGGAAAGGAACCCCCCGAGGCAAGCTTCACAGTGAAAAAGAACACCCAGTTAAAGCGGAGAGGAGAAGAGGATGAAGGCAAGGCTTACATTGGTCAGTATGGTGTTCCTCTGTATGTTACTTTTCACGTTTTACAACCAACGGAGTAACGAAAAATCATGCCAATAGCTGTGCTTGATCTTTCCCAGTCATTTTGCTCTTTAGAAAACCATAAATTATGCATTTGTGCTATATAAATATATGTATAACAGAAGTATAATATCCATGACCAGGGACAACAGGTTATGAAGACTGGTCAGTAGTTGGAACTAACCACAATTGTGTGCGTGGAGTTGAGGGAAGGTAAGATAGAGAAGAGACCGCTATGACAATAATAGGAATGATCACGCTGGACGAGAGCTGAGGGTTAGAAATAGGTAAGCAATATTCTGGATAGCCTTTCAGTATCAGTATTGCAAACCACAGTGCCCAAAAGGAGAGAATCAGATAGTGACAGGCTGTGGGTGGGGTGTGGGAGTTGATGGGAGGGAACCTAAGGACACTGGTGCTGGGAAATGTAAACTGATGGTAGGGATGGGTGTTGAAATACTCTGTGACTGAAATCCAGTCATGCATGGCTTTGTCACGGTTCTCCCATTGTTCATCGATTTGCTCGAGCGGGCCCAGTAACGTCTGCATTGGAGACTTTGTTGTTACTGTGTTTGGCATATCGAATACATCACGGGTAGCTTGCCAGGCTCTGCCATGTGGGCGAGATACTCTCTGTAGCTTGCCAGGCTCTCTAAGAGGGGCAGAGGAATCGAACTCGGGTCGGCCATGTTGGCTGCGTGCAAGGCAAACGCCCTACCACTGTGCTGTCACTCCTTTCCAGAATGGCTTTGTAAAATAAATAAATTATTTAATAAATTAAATAAAAACCATAAATCATATACTTCCATGACACCTTCATGGAAAGATATTTGTGTTCTCAATTCATTTGTGTTTTCAGTAAATAGAATGGTTCTAACTATTCTAAATGTGCAATCGGCACATTTATATAAGTCCAATGGGAAATGAGTTAACTAGCAGATTATGCCACCAAGAAGCTTTTCCATCATATTGGAAACTTTTAAAACAAGGTACACATAATTAAAAGGGAAAGTAGAAGTGAATGAAATTCAGAGGTAGTAATATTTTAAGAGCACATAGCACAGCGGTAAGGTATTTGCCTTGCATGCAGCCAGCCCAGCTGAGCCGGATTCTATTCCTCTGCCCCTCTCAGAGAGCCCGGCAAGTTACCAAGAGCATCTCGCCCGCATGGCAAAGCCTGGCAAGATACCCATGACGTATTCAATATGCCAAGCACAATAACAACAAGTCTCACGATGGAGACGTTACTGGGCCGGCTCGAGCAAATTGATGAACAATGGGAGGACAGTGCTACAGTGACAGACAGTGCTATAGATTACTGACCGCAACTTCTTCCTGTCCCCATTTGTTCTAGACATAGTAACTAAATTGTCTTCCCTTTTTAGAGTATTGATTGAAAATGTTGACCAACTGCATTGTGTGTATTGAACTTTCACATCTGTTACCAATGTCATTCCCTCCAGTATGTGTCTACTCAAAACATACGTGACTTAGAAGTGATGATATAATTGTTCACATGGTCAATATTGACATCCATTTGTTAATGATAGAAGAAAACAAATTACCTAAAAATTGAAAGTTCATGCATCAGTTGCACTATTTGTAAATTAGTCTTCATATGCTATTGGATGTCAAGCTTTTCTGTGCCATATAGTTTTAATGTTATGGTATAACAATTGTTCTTACTCCCAGAATCCTATCTTCTAAGATAAGATTCTAAGATAAACCCATGTTTTAACATTAATAAAGCAGTATAACCAGAGGATAATAATCATAAGAAAGTATACATATGTATTAAAATATAAGTACATATTAATTTAGTTTAACTAATACTAGAATGATACTTAATGCATGAGTAGCATTTATCCTATTGACATAAATACATAGAATACCTTGATGGGGACCATGTGCATACAAAATCTTCCCCTCTCCTGTAAACACCTCTACTTATAAAATACCTCAAAGCTGTAATGAGCTGTTGTAATTCAGGAGTAAAGCCAGATGCTGCTCAAATAAAATTACAAATATATATTCTTAACATAAAATCAGAGAGTATTCCAACACCCATCCCTACACCAGTGTACATTTCCCAGAACCAGTGTCCCCAGATTCTCTCCCATGTGTAGATAATAGTTTTACCCAAAAAAGCATACCTTGACCATGACCCTAGGCCAGTGTTTATTTGTCCTATTATTGCTACATCTTATTTGAAAAAATGATCTATATTTTTTAAATGGCTACAGCTTTTTGCTGGAAAGGCAGTAATGAAAACCAGTCAACATGACAAAATTCCTGCTAACTCGACTGCTATTTGGCAAGCCAGGGTGATTATAAATGCAGACACGATGTATTAGAGCCATTGAACTAGCTGGATGCAACCTGTTCTGTTTTAAAGATGATGGCTGCTTTTCTTTATGGTATTTTGCATAGATGATGAGCCAGATGATGGTGCTCAACATTACATTATCGTCGTGGGCTTCACGAATCCTCAGCTATTAGCGATTATGACTGAGCTTGGCATTCCCATAAGCAGTGTGATTAAAATATCTTCAGAGAATTACGAGCCTCTTCGGACACACCTGGCAGTAGTTGGCCAGCAGCAGGAAGCTCTCGCTCATCCCAAAGGTATGCAGTCGGCTACGCAACTAACTGAGTCCTCCAGTATCACTGCAGTCTTTAAAGCACAAATACAACTTTCTGTCCAAAACATAGTCATGCAATACAAACATTATTAAATTCCAGCATGACTTTGATTTGATATTTATCCTGCTTCCACTAGCCAAGGGTTGTAAATTTTAGAAATTAAAATCATATTCTGTCTTCCTATCCCTGTGTAGCCCCAGATAACATAAGCATGGGTCAGAAGACTTGGGTCAGAAGACTTGGTTGTGAACTACGTGTCTCAGAAACTTTGATAGAGAACTTCTACTTTAAGGATGGGCTTGGTGGTTTGAATAGGTAATCTGTTCTTCCAGACACTGAATTGCCCAAAGAAGAGCATAACCTTGCCTTATTGTTGTGCTTTGCTACTGGTTCGTTGTGATAAATCAAAGTGCGTAAACAAGGAAAAGTTCCAATCACATTATTATTCACCTAATTAGAAGCTTTGGGGTCTTCATCTAACAGAGATTCCCAAACTTATTCGGCCTAAATCCCCTTTACAGAAGAAACAGAGTAGCCAGTGCTCTCCCCTAGAAATTCACCTTCTTTGAGTGAACAAGAGAAAATGCCCCCGATTTCACCCAACGTCATCACCATCCCCTGGATCATGACAGCGTCTCCACTTTGGGAAACAGGGAGGAATCCGGTCAGGTGACCCGTGGAACTTCAGTACAGAACCGTTACCCGGCTCTCGAGACTACATGTTCAAGTTCTTTCTGTCATATATGTCTGTTTTTCAGTTATTTGTTAGCACCATTTGTGCAGTGCTCAGTAACTTACATGCCCACACCTCAGTTTCTATAATATTACATTTAAAACAGTGTTTCTGGTTAGAGATGCTTACCTCTGGTAATAATAATAATGACCACTTCTTGGGAACATGATTTAGAACAAGGCTTAATGCCAAAAACTTTTTTTTCACAATCCTAGGAAATATGTTTTATCATTTTTATTTTACCAAAAGGAACCTGACTCTTTATCTAGATGCAAGTATTAAGTGAAGGAGTTGAGATTCAAACCCACTACTCTGGACTATCTTAAATAATAATTGTATTAATTAACAGTATTGAAAACAATGAAAAATATTATATAAACTCTAATCTCTCTACACATAATATTTAATGTGGACAAAATGAACTGATAGAATATAATTTAAAAATAAATAATGAGATATTAGTACCTGTTTAATTATAAATGAAATAAAACTGTTTCAGAAAAATTTCTGAGTGTAACTTAATAGAAAACCTAACATTGTTTTATATCAGAGCATGGATACCTACAGAAGTCCATAGTTATTTTAATATGGTAAAAGGTAAAGGCCCTCCCGTTGATCGTCGATTTGCTCGAGCGGGCCCAGTAACGTCTCCATTGGAGACTTTGTTGTTACTGTGTCTGGCATATCGAATACTCTCGGTAGCTTGCCGGGCTCTCCGAGAGGGGCGGAGGAATCGAACTCGGGTCGGCCATGTTGGCCGCTTGTAAGGCGAACGCCCTACCCACTGTGCTATTGCTCCAGCCCATTTTAATATGATCAAGAGTTAATTCGAGCATAAAACATTGATCTATTTCTCACCTCATAAGAATTGGATCAACTGCACTTTTTTCCTCCCTCCCATCCCTTCCTTATTCCCTCCCTTCCTCCCTTCCACCCTCCCTCCCTTCCTTTCTTCTTCCCTCCCTTCCTCCCTCCCTTACTTCATCCTTCCCTCCCTCCTTTCTTCCCTCCATCCCTACCTTCCTCCCTCCCTCACTTCCTCCCTCCTTCCCTCTCTCCCTTCTTCCCTCCCTCTCTCCCTTCTTTCCTCCCTCTCTCCCTTCTTCCCTCCCTCTCTCCCTTCTTCCCTCCCTCTCTTCCTTCTTTCCTGCCTCCCTCTCTCCCTCCCTCTCTCCCTCTCTCCGTCCTATCCTCCCTCTCTCTCTCCCTCTCTCCTTCACTCCTTCACTCCCTCCCTTCTTCCCTTCCACCCTCCCTCCTTCCCTCCCTTTTTCCCTTTCTTCCTTTTGTTTTGAACCATATCCAGTAGTGCTCACCAGCTATTCTTAACTTGGGGCACTCCCATCAATGGTCCGGCCAACGCGTAGTGCCAGATATTAAACCCAGGCCCCTGATTGCAAAGCAAGTGTTTCAGCCCATTGAGCTATCACTCTGGTTCTCAACTTCATTTCTAACCAGTTAAGACTCAAACCAAAAATGAAATGGTCAAAGCAGATTTGTCGGCTCCAGTATAGATGCAATCTAAGATAAATGAAAACATTAAACATAGTTAGATTCCAAAATGTATGACTGTATCATTTACCTTGACATCAGTTATAAAATAAAGGGGTAGAATAAGCTCATGTTTGATATCAATTCCAGAAATAAAATCCTCTGATTTCATAATTAAATATTTAGGTTCCATACCTCAACATTTTTTTTTGCTTTTTGGGTAACACCCAGTGATGCACAGGAGTTACTCCTGGTTCATGCACTCAGGAATTACTCCTGGCGGCACTCGGGGGACCATATGGGATGCTGGGAATCGAACCTAGGTCGGCTGCGTGCAAGGCTAACACCCTACCCACTGTGCTATTGCTCCAGCCCCCATACCTCAACATTTTGTCTTGTTTTGTTTGTGTGTGTGTGTGTGTGTGTGTATTGCAGAGAATCAAATCCAGAATTTCACACATGCCAGACAAGCACTCGACCACTGAGCTATTTCTCTAGCCTACCATTATGTTTTTCATGTATGCGTTTTTCTGGCACTAGACTGGCGTCACTTAGTACATCTCTTATGTTGGGAAAAGTTCAATACTCCTTGTTGCAGTAAAACATGTTCTTGTTATTAGATGTAGAAGCTGAAAACTTGAAGAAAATTAGTGCCAAAAAAGAACTTGAAATTTTCTGGAAGTACTTGGAACCAATCTTGAATAACGAGAAGCCTGAAACAAATCTCTTTGATGTTGCCCAGCTTCACTACATAGTCAAGGAAGATGACTTTCCTTCCGACTGGTCAAACAACGAAATGATGGTTAGTACATGCATTAGTGAGAGTGAGAGTAGATGACTTGGGTGGCTAGAACATGTGAAACTGTAGTCCTACTACCCCATTTATTCATTCCACAGATATATACTGAATACATAACATGAACAAACATTTGGGTTAGGCTCCTTTAGCTCCAGACAGGTGGAAATGCTGAATTGTCTTTAGTGGTTACACCCTGATTCTTTACCTTTCTTGTAGGGGTGGAGGAAGACCGGAGTGTTGACCATACCCAGTGGTGCTCAGGGTTGGCTTCTTGATCTGTATTCTGTGCTTGGGATGGGAAGACCCGTATGCAGTGCTGGGGGTCACCATGTGAAAGGCAGGCTTCTTCACCCTTGCAGTGTCTCTCCAGGACGCCTATTCCTCTCTTTGGTATTAAGTGTAAGAAGCACTGACAAAGAATAAGATATGGATGAAGATTAAGATGATAATTCTTTTATTTGGTGACGTGATTTCTTGCACTTTTTTACTTCTTGGCTGTAACTTTACTATATATGGTGGAGAAAAGTAAATTTTTACAATTTGTCAGTTATGTTGTAACTTGCAAAACATGCCAGTACAAAACATTGCTTTCTTAGGCCCTTGATTATGTTGCCAAATTTGTGTTTTTATTTTTTTAAATTTTTATTATTTGTTTGGTTTTGGAATCCTACCTTGTGCTACTCCTGGCTCTGTACTCAAGTCACTCCCTGCAGTCCTCAGGGGATCAAATGTGGGCAAAGCCTGCACTCAGCACGTTGAGCTATCTCTCCCACCCTAAACCACCTAAATTATACTCTTAAATATATTAGGCCAAGAAAATTTGTCTTGATATGATGGCTTGACCTCAGCCCAGCAGTGTGCAGGCATCCCTGAGAGGCACGTGTTGGCTTTATAGAGAGCTCGCAGAGAAACAGGACCAAAGTCCCAAACAGAGAAGGTGCCGTACATTTAGGAGCTCAGTTATGCGAAACACACTCTAAGTTTCCTTATAAGAATAAATGGAATGGGCTTACTCTTCGAGCCTGTGTTCTCCCGTGAACTCAGGTCTCTCTGTCTGCTTTTTTCTGCTCTGGAGAAGCCCAGGTTCTCTCTTGAATATCTGTTTTCTCTCTTTCTCTCCCCTCATGTCTTTCTAAGTTTTGATCAATTAAAAACCATCTGGCAAGCTACCGAGAGTATCTCGCCCACACGGCAAAGCCTGGCAAGCTCCCCATGACATATTCGATATGCCAAACACAGTAACAACAAATCTCATGATGGAGACGTTACTGGGCCCGCTCGAGCAAATTGATGAACGGGAGGACAGTGCAATGCATTTAAAAAAAAATAAAAGACATGGAATTCTCCAAGAGGTAGCAAATGCTCTCAAAAAATGATTGAGAGACCATTCGTCATGGGTGTTTGGGGAAGAGGTTATAAAAAAAAAATCTCTCAGTGCTCTTTCTGGTAGACTCCACATCCCAACTAACAGGGACCAGGGGTGCTGACTCCCTTCACAGGAGAGTTCAGCACCATGGGAGCTGAATGAATGGCAGAGCACTGAAGGGGGTTGAGCCCTGTCATGTGAGAACTGTGAAGGAGCCGGGCATGGCAGTGTGGAGGAGGTGATGGGATTCTGTGTTCAGGGACCCTCGGATGGCAGCAACAGCAGAGGATAGCGTGTGCAATGGGCAGGCCTCCTGCCTAGAGCCCTCTCATTCTTCCCAAGACAGATGTGCACTTCGTGAAGTAACTGAAAGCCCTGAGGCAGGAGGTCCAGACAAGAATTGAATAAGCACCAATGAATAGATCAGCTTGAATCACAGTGACTGACAAGTATGGTGTTAGATATGACTGTGAAGAAACAGGATTCTCAAGGCTACTACCTCACCCACAGATAAATCAGTTCCAGCCTTGTCCTGTACTTAGAACATGAAGCTGAACACAACTGAGCTGTGGATGGAGGCAGGTCTTGCTCCGGACAGAGCTGGCTCTTCCAGGCATTCCTTGCTCTGCCTCTTTACCACTTCATCTGGAAAGCTCCATCTTTTCCACTTTGCCTTTCGTTCTCCTAAACCTGAGCTCAGCAAAGGACCCGCGGTTGTCTCTCTGTTATTGTTTCATATTAAGGTGGATCAAAGTTTCTTAACAAAGAGATGATGACATTCCACGTAATTTACAAACATGAATATTTCATCTATTTTATTGGAATTCCGAATTACACCCAGTAAATGTGAGATGTGTTTAAAGGAGAGGCTATTCCAAAAATATAGAGACGGTATAGGGGAAATTCTCTGCCATAGAATCAGAGGGAGGGCTGGAATATTGGAGACATTGGTGCTGGAAAATGTGCAATGGTGGAGGGATGGGTGTTTGATCATTGTATGACTGAGGCTCAAACATGAAAGCTTTGTAACTGTATCTCACAGTAATAAAAAAAAAAAATTAGAGGCTATTTCCCAGGACTCCTAGTGTCCCACCTCAGAGTCACTTTTCTACACTTTTTCTTCAATAGACAGCTCTTCTCCCCAAAACATGAAAACTATGCCTAACAAAGTTTCAAATTCACCTATTTCTGTTGGGAGAAATAACCCACTTCTCATCTGGATCAAGATCTGACAACATTCTCTGTCAAGAACTTGACTACATTTCTGTTTTAGTAGGGCAAAGGCGATCCTGGTTGTGTATATTATCACTTGTATCACTTGTCATCCCATTATCCATTGATTTGCTCGAGTGGGCGCCAGTAACGTCTCCATCCATCCCTGTCACATGCTAGTGTAGGCAAATGGCATCTGCTTGCTCCAGGAACATGAAGAGCTTCAAACCGTTTGTTCGGGGTTTTGACGTAGAAGTCTGACCATCTCGTAGGTGGGCAGTCACATGTCCTTTTGACATTCCGTGGAATCCAGTCGGTAACAGCTCTAGTCCAGCGGTCCTCTCTAAATTGTATTACGTGTCCAGTCCATCTTATTTTTGATGCCTTGGCAAATGAGACAGCGTCCCTGATTCTTGATCATCGACAGAGGTCGGAACTCTGGATTCCTTCTCTCACTTGAGTAAAATGTGATATTCCAAGCATAGCTCTTTTGATTCCTCTTTGGGATATCCGAATAGCGTTCTTGTCCTGTTTTCGTAGTGCCCAGGTCTCTGAGAAGTAGGTTAGTTCAGGAAGAATGGTGTAGTCGAAAAGATGTGCCTGGAGCTGGAGTTTCTTCGTCCTCTTAACAACTTCTTCTATGCGCTTGAAGGTGTTCCACACCTCTCTCTTCCTCCTGCACAGTTCTGGTGGCAAGTCATTCCTCATGTTGAGTTCTTGACCCAGGTACACATAGCTGCTGCATCCAGAGATGCTTGTTTTGTTGAAAGCAAATGGAATGTCAGGAACTAGTTCATTTTTCATGAACATTGTCTTGGTGAGATTCAGCTGCAGTCCAACCTTTCCACACTCACGGTCGAAGTTGGCCAGCATACAGTACAGCATTACAGTACACTTTGACCGTATACAGTAATTGCTGAAATAAAAAAAATTGTCTTCTAAAGCATACTCAGCAAGTACCTTTTGTTTCTGTTCTTGCCAGGACTTCCTCCTGTATGTCTTATTCATGTCCCAGGCATAGGTGAGAGCAGCTGGAATGTATGAGCCAAGGCACAGCACATTGTGTTGTATCATCAGTACAGAGATGGAAACACCAGGGCACACAACCACAGCTTCAAAAGAAACAACACCATCACTCCAAAATTTTAATCACTTCCTTTTAAAAGACAAAGTGGCTGTGACTGGATATTACTGTAAAACACCCGTATATACGGACTAGAAGAGTTAAATAGGGAAGTTAAGAAATATGGGATGGGGTATTGTTATCAGCCTCGTTTAAGTGCAAACTGGAGTAGAACATTTCTGGCTTAAAACTAGGTTCCCATTTAAAGTGTGTATTAAATCATAGCCGGGAATGAAATCACCTTCTGAGTAGCCTTTAGGACTGTCTTGCTCAGCTAATTGTATTGATCTGCTTACTAAACCACTGAAAGTATTTATTGAGTATCTTCTTCGTGCTGGCTGCTGTTTGATCAGGTGCTCCTCCTGACGCAGAGACTGCTCTCAGCAGTGCTCAGGTATCATTTGGTAAGGGGGACTCTAACACAGGACTCCTGTATGTAAAGCTTGTTCTAGCCCTGTGATCTATCTCTCCCTCCCTCCCTTTAAAAAAAAAATGGTAGGCATGGACAGTCAAACATTGAGGGTAATGGGAAGAGAGTTTATGGAAGATGGTTCATAAATAAAGATGAAATATAGAAGCAAAGGCCTCTGTTATGTACTGTTCATTCAGGTCGTGTGTGTGTGTGTGTGTGTGTGTGAAGCTCTGAGGCTGCCTCACTCTGCTTAGAGGATCATGTGGTGCTAGGGATGGAATCTGCACCTCCTGTATGCAGAGCTTTTGCTTAGATCTATGTTCTTCCTCCATGACCCTGGATTCCATGTTAGAGATTCAGGTTTATTTTAATCTTGGGATGACTTTGAGGTATAAAATATAAACCCACTTTTAGTAGAAACATGGAGGAGAGATCTGGTCCTGCACTCAACTCATCTGTAAGTTAAGAGAGGCCTCATTCCCAAGGCAAGAACCAACCACACTTAACTCCTTCCTCTGGGAAGGAAGGAAAGCATTAGTACCTTTGTCTACAAGCAAGCGGGCTGCATTTCTGCTACACCAGGATAATGAAAGATTTATAGCAAGTAAACGCCCAATAAGAAGTGCTGACTGCTCTTGTAAGACATGTGCAACATCTCAAGTTAAGACCTTGGTTGCTGAAATAATTTCTGCCTTTTAGTATGTGATTTGCTGTTTTATTGAAAAAATGCATTTACTGGGTAAGCTCAATGATCCATGGGTGGAGATTTTTATCATATTTCTTTTAAATACAACAAAAATGTATTTCTCTTCCAGAACTAGGGCAAGGAGTACCAAGTTGAAGCTTAAGTAAAGAATGTCCCATCTTAAGTAAAGGAAGTCCAGACTGAGGGGAGTGTGCCCTGAATGAGGACCAAGCAAGGCAATTCCCTGTTTCCTGCTGGGCCGTGGTCCCCTGGCCCCAGGAAACTGTGTCATCCCACCTCAGATCTTCAACTCAGACAGAGGATGCGCTGAGCTAGCTGTTTCTTTCCTTCAAGCAGACACAGTGAAAACAGTGCTTTCTCCTTCTGGAAAAGAAAGCCCATGTCATAAAACTTGTGGGTCTCTTAGGGAAGCACTGAGTCTGTCAGGATTCCTTAGGGTAGTTTATATTTTTGTCTAACAGCACTGGTGAAAGGAAAGAAAGGCATCAGGGAGGAAAGAAAGAAATATTGATTGCACTTATACTCCTGTGTGCTTGATCAGATAATACTCAAAAGTGAGCTTGGGATTTCTACTGTGCCTCTTACACTGCCAGGAAGAAATCATCTATTGCTTGTTTAGGGCTGAGGATATTGAACTAACTTCTCTGACATGTTGTTTTAGGAACTGTAATTTCAAGATCAAGGGCCACACAGCAGAAGCTAATGAATACGGTGATTTTTACTTAGGCCAAGAATTAATTAGTCTCTTACCATTATAGGCAGCCGTAAGATCCTCCAAAGGGAAGGGTCTGCAATATGGTGAACGCAACTAGAGCAGTTCCCGTTAGAGGTAATGGGGTCACCTTTCCAAAGAGACAAACCAGACATCTCATTCCAATACTGTGAGGCTAATCACTGTCGTTACTTCTCTCACCTGTAGTTGGAGTTGGGCACCATTATTTTTGAAAACATTGCCTGTTTGATGTATGACTGCCTGGATTGGAAAAGGCAGCACCAGCACTATCTGGAAAGCATGGAACTTATTTATGTCCCACAAGTGTTCCACGAGAGACCTGCCTTAGAAGCCATGTTCGTTTCTGAGGTATGCATGTGCCCAAGTGTCCCTAGTGGGCTGGGTGATTGCCTGAGCAGCTCACTTATCTTGTTTATAAAATATACGAGGAATACTTTACATAAACATCTATCTTGTGGTAGTGCTACCTGCTGGGATTTAATAGGTGAAGGTACCAACAAGGCCAGAGTGTCAGAGGACGCCTGTGTGGTCACAGCTTTGGGAAGCTTTCTAACCTCTGGCCATCTGTAGACAATGGAATCCATTCTTCACCCATGCTGCAATGAGCAAATAATGAATTCTGAACAAAGAGGGATCCCGGTCAATTCAAATGTGTTTATTTTGCCCTTTTCAGCCCTTGCTACCAGGCTATCTGGAGAGACAGGAGCCAGGGCTGCCTTTCTGGTGCTGAGAGTGAGTTTGGCTTTATCCTGAAGCTGGTGGACAGGAAATTACTGAAGGATTCTGAAAGAGGGATGACACGATTCTGAGTCACCCAGTAGAAGAAAGAAACCTTTTGAGACTCAGTGCCCCACCTCCCAAGCATTGTCCTGGCAGTTGCTCACTGAGCCATCTTAGGGTCAAAAATTCAGAGTGCCCAGAGTGATCCATTTCTTCCTTAGACAAAACCTCTCCATCTGCTCCTGTTATTGGCACACACTTCTGTTGATACAGTCCTAGGATCCTGTCAGAACCTAGCATATCAGCCTCTGATAAATGCTCCTTTGAGACAGATAACTGAGTTGCTTCTTTTTGAATTCTTTTATATTCCACAGACAGTCCCTGCAAAGAAGAAGCCACAAACTGAAGATCAAGTTCCACCATCAGGCATGTATAGACCCATTGCTGGATTGATCAGCACCAGAAGCTGCTTTTTGAAGGACTGGCAGCTTCTCTGGTCACTTACCGGTGTCCCTCGAACTGAACAACCTAAATTGATTAGTAGTCTGAATTTGTGGGTGAAATCTTTACGGAAAAAAAAAATAGAGAACACATCTTAACCAACCAAGCAATGATATTTTGTGTATCTTACAGTGTCTTTTGTGGGCACCACCTTTGAAGTAGACATGAGATATTACAATGACTTGTTGAACATGATTCCAGAGGAATTTATTTCTGTGCCCCTAATACTCCACTGTATGCTGGAACAGGTAAGTTGGTAAATTCTGAGGCTCCCTTCACTCCCACAAAAGGGGTAAGACCATCACTCAGTCACTTCATCTTTTTCCTCGCTTACTTTGTTGTTGTTATGATTTTCTTGGGTTTTCTTTGGGGTGGCTGTATTCCCAATAGTGCTTAGGGGCTACTCTCACTTGGTGATGTGGTGTTGCTCCGTGTGGTCCTTGAGGGTCATGTGGTACTAGGGATCATACCCAGGCCTCTTGCATTCAAAGCATGTGCGCAGCTCATTGAGCCTGGTCTTTGCCTGTCCCACTTCCTTAAGCTATTTTCAAACTAACAGACAATAGGGCCAGAGAGAGTTCAGGAGGTTTGGTACTTGCCCTGCATGGAGTCAACCCCAGTTCAAATCTTCAGCACTGTTTGTGGTTCCCTGAGCACGGCTAAGAGTAAGTCCTATACATTGCCCAGGTGGGACCCAAAAAACAATAAAAAATAAATAAATAAAACCACACACAACAACTGACTTCATTCTCCTTTACAAATATTAGAGCATTTCAGGTCAAACTAAAGTTTGCTTTGATCAGTGGTATCAACAACTTTCTTGTGATGTACAATGGAGTAGTTTATGTAACATTCCCTAAAGTTTGGGTAGGCTTAAAACTCTCTTTTTGGTGTTGCTTTAAGGAAGAGAGAGAAGTAGAGTTGGAGTGGTGAATGATTAATGTTCAACTACTTTTAAATTTCTTTTATACTCAGATTTAATCATATTTTTGAACTTTCAAATAATTTTATTTTGAATTAGAATTATGTTCCTGAATTTAAACATTGATGTTTTAATTTATGTATTCAGTATTGGGCAAAGAACTTTGCACAGTTTACTTAGAAGCATATTATATTTCCTTTGTAGGTTATTATGTTTCTTTTCTACGACTGGTGTTACTTCTTTACACCCTTTTTTTTTTCAGTGAATCACCGTACAGTTACAGGCTTACAAACTTTCTGTTTGCATTTCAGTCATACAGTGATCAAGTACCCATACCTCCACCAGTGACCATTTAACACCACCAATGGTCCCAAGCATCCCTCCTGCCACCTCCACCCCGTCCCCTCCACCCTACCCCGCCTCTGTGGCAGGGCATTCCCTCTTGCGCGCTCTCTCTCTCTCTCTCTCTCTCTCTCTCTCTCTCTCTCTCTCTCTCTCTGTAATCTTGATCATGTTTTCTTGATGACTTATAAATTGTATTGGTCTTTTTAAAGAACTGGTATTTTGTGTCATTGATAAACTTCTTTTTTATTATTTATTTATTTAATGAATGTATTTTTATTATCTTTATTATTTTCTTTCTTCTGGTATGTTTTATAGTCATTCAGACATGTTTTATATTTTCTTAAGGTACATATTGCATTTGCAAGACAGGGGAAAACATTAAGAGCTTTACTTGTTCTCAGTCTTCTCTTGCCTTGATCACTTGATCACTTGACTTCCCGTTAATCATCGATTTCCTCGAGCGGGCGCCAGTAACGTTTCCATTTGTCCCTGTCGCGTGCTAGTGTTGCCCAATGGCATCTGTTCATTCTAGGAACACGAAGAGCCTCAAACTGATTGTTCAGGATTTTGTTGAAGAAGTCTGACCATCTGGTAGGCGGGCAACCACACAGTCTTTTGACGTCCCGCGGAATCCAGTCGGTAACAGCTCTAGTCCAGCGGTCATCTCCAGATCTCATTACCTGTCCAGCACATCTGATTTTTGACACCTTGGCAAACGAGACAGCGTCCCTGACTCTTGATCATCGACGATCTCTTGCCTTATATAGTTATTATTTTTCAGCAGGTGGGGTGGGTCACAGCCTGCTGTTCTCAGGACTTCTTCCTAGTTCTGTACTCAGGAATCACTTCTGGTGGCACTCAAAAAACCATATATGGTTCTGAATATATAAATGAAGTTGGCTGCAAGCAAGGGATGCGCTTTACCCTTATCCTTTATCTCTAGCTCCCAAAATTCATTTTTCCCTTTTGTTGTTCAAATTATTATAGCCTGCATTGTAATTAACACTGGGGCACACCCAGCTGTGCTCAGGGCTTACCCCTGGCTCTGCCCTCAGGAGTCAGTTCTGGTGGGCTCAGAGGACTTATGATTTCCCGGGGATTGAACCAGGTTGATGGTTAGCAAGACAAGTGCCCTACTTGCTGTACTATCTTTCTATACCCTGCATTGTAATTTTTTAAAAAAAATTTATCAAGGCACCATGATTTAAAAAGTTGTTCGTAGCGTTTTTAAGCATGCAGTGTTCCAACACCAGTCCTACCGCTGCTGTAATTTCTCTACATCAATGCCCACAGGTTCCCTTCCACCCCGTCTTTGTCCTTACAAGGAACATGTTTAAGTTTGGTTGTAGCTTGGTTTCATGCTTGCAGTTTTATGGGCTGGATGGTTTAGATATACATAGTGTATACCTCCACACGATAAATGTGCCCAAGGTCCCTGCCCCATACCCCTGCTACCTCTCATTTACCTCTTCTTCCTTCTCCTCTCAGTTTCTTCCCTTCTGTGTTCTTCTTTCTATACTTTAGGGTTAAGGGCAATGTAACCCCCTTTAATACCTTGTCTTATTATTGTATATGCGATGATTATATATACAGTAAGAGTGATCATACTGTACCTGTTCTACTGAATTGGTATTGCATTAAATTTATATTTGCTTAACATGATATCTTTCAGTTTCATCTAGGCTACAACAAATTGCATAATATCATCATTTCTTGCAGATAAGCCATATTCAGTTCTGAATATATACCGCACCTTGATTATGCATTCATGTGTCCTCAGACACCTGAGTTGATTTGATTCCATGTTGTAGTTGTTGTACTAAGTGCTACAGTGATCAATAGTATGCATATGACCTTTTGAATGAAAGTGCTTATGTCTTGTGGGTCGATACCAAGAGGTGGAATTTCTCGGCTCTATGGAAGCTCTATTCTTACTTTTCTGAGAAATATCTATATGGGGGCTTAGTACAGCAGGTAGGGCATTTGCCTTGCATGAGGCTGACCCAGGCTCAATCCCTGGCATCCCAATGGTCCTCTGAGCTCCATCAGCAGTAATTCTGATTGCAAAAGCCAGGAACAACACATGAGCATCGCCAGGTGTGCCCCTTCAAAAAATAATACTCCATGTTTTTTTTCCATAAGGGTTGAACCAGACAACTTTCTGTCAGCTTCACCAAGAACTCTTGGTGAAAGAGTTCCTCTTTCACCACATCTCCATCAACAGAGATTGTTCCAAGTTTTGTTTAATATGTGCCACTCTCATTGATGTGAGATGATATCTTACTGCCATTTTGATTTGGATTTCCCTAATAAGTGATATGAGCTCTTTTTAATGTGCTGCTTGGTCATCTGTCTGTCTTCTTCTGAGACAACCCTGTTCATTTCTTCACCATTTTTTGATAGAGCGTTTGAATTTGTTTTGTTGTTTGTAATGATCTTTGTGAATGCTTTATATATCTTGGATAGCAATTTTTTTTCTGATATCTTGAGTGCAGATATTTTCTTCTGTTTAGTTGGGTAGGTATCTATTGGTTTTATCTGATTTTTTTGCCCTGCAGAAACCTTTTTCCATTTGACGTAGTCCCAATGTTTAGCTTTTATTTCTGTTACCATTGCCAATGCAATGTCATTGAAGACAGCTTTGGGGTCCAAATCTTGGAATGTTCTGCCTATATTTTCCTCAATATATGTTATCAATTCTCCTTTGATCTCAGGTCTCTCCACTTTGAATTGACTTTTATGTATAGTGTGAGATATAGATCTAGCTTCATATTTTTACATGTTATTATCTAGTTTTCCCAACACTTTTTGTTGAAGAGGCTATCTTTCCTCCACTTCATGTACACAGAAACTGTCAAAAATTAGTTTACTATAGGTCCTGATATTAGTCTTTGTGTACTCAATTCTAACCCACTGGTCAGAGAATCTATGCTTATTCAGTACCATGCTGTTTTGATCACTATTGTTTTATAATGTAGTTTCAAGTTAAATACTGCAATGCCTTGTAGGATGACATTGCTTTGTCCTTTCTCCACAAGGAGCTTAGGTTTATCAGGTTACACCCATTACAGTGCTCCTGAGGCATTTCCATTCCATTGTGTTTATCTGTAAACTCTTCCCTATGCTCTTCTCCCCAACCAGTTAATCAGCTTTCCCCCTAATCAGACTCTGTTAATTTGTAAGGTTAGATTCCTCAGAAATCTATGATTTTATATGTATGAGTGAAATATTGCCTTTCTCCTCTCCTTATGCCTTATGAACAGTTTACTTTAAAGCAATGCCCTTTTTGTATGGATACAGGAAGACCGTTAACATTATGCTTTGTAACTTAGGATGTAATTGGCTTTGAATATTATTCACTCCCGGGCATCTGCTTTCTCGACTTAAGCCTCACTTGACCTTAGTTCCTAACACCCCCAAAACAGGGTTCTGACGAGGGACTGAACAGAGCCAGGGCAAGCGGTGAGCTACCCTGGCATTGAAATGGGCCAGGTCAAAGTGCCACAATTCTTGACTATAAGTTAAGAGCTTGATCATAGACAAATGCTGTCATGATCCAAAAGTAACGACGAGAGTAGGTTCCTGATAGGGGTGGGAAAGACTATCTGGCCTGAGCACTGTAGTCTGAGATTGAGATGGCCCTAGGAGGGCAATTCTATAAGTTTAAGAATTATTGTATCCATACAAAATGATTCATATTATATATGCTTTTATGTTGTCGGACAAGGAGAGGAGAAACACACCCATGGGATTCCGCTCTAGGGTGGGTCCTCCTGCTGAGAAAGGATCTGTCCTAGGAGCGGCTTTCCCTGAGGGAAAGAATTCTACCCCTATTGATTGTGACCACACCTATGTGTAATTATTACCCCAACCCCTCATGCTTTGGGATTTAACTGTACTGTAAGAGTGGACCAAAGGATCAGAAGGAAGAGAAAGGGGGATCAGAATCCAGACTCCAGAGCAAGAGGAGAAAGGGGATCA